GCGTGTGAACGCATCTAAAAAAGCCTAGTGCTTTTACTTTCTCCTGTCTGTGGCTCTCTTCAGATTAACGGAGAGGCAGTGGAGCAGGTGGAGAAATTCAATGACCTCGGAACTGTATTTACTAGTGATGGAAAATTGGAGGAAGAGATCGACCGGCGAACCAAAGTGACCAAAACACAGCTAAGCTAAGCTCTTAGTATTCAAGTCGATCTTTATTCCCATGCTTACATGTGGTCATGAGTCATGGACCATGACTGAAAATCTTCGATCCCGGGTACTAGCTGCTGAAATGCCTTCTATTCGGCTCACGCATCTCGAGATGGTACGGATTTAAGTTGCTTACGCAAGCCTTGGTTGCAGCCACTACTTCTTCAGATTGAGAGGTCACAGCTGCGAGGTTTTAGCGCTCATACTTCCAGAAAAATGCAGAGCAAATACTACTTGTCGAGCCAACGGAAGAGAAGGGTGCGGGCGAAGATAACTTTGGGCAAGGCTGTAAATTGACGTCGCTCTAGATTCTGATTGTCTTCTTTCAAAGCTCCAACGGTGGCACAGCATCAGCAACTTTGGAACCAGGGTCTACCGCGTTTCTCTCCATTGTCCGACTGGAACGCCATCATAGAAATTGATTGATTGTGAGTGCATGAGTAGTTTTTGATGAGGCTCATGTAATTTCTCTATGAAATATCGATAAAATGTATGATTATGGGACCAACTGCTATTTGTTTTGCAAAAACAGAATTTTCTGTAGGTACTCCCTGCAGTCTAGTATAAGTTTCCTTGCTTTATTCATCATAGCAAATTAACTGCAATCGCTGAAAAGCATACACAACAGTTCATCATTATTACTACGAGTGAGAAGCACAATCATTTCTTTATACAATCCATAATGTTATTTTTCACGTAGCCCGGCAAACACTGGCAAGTTTTCTTGTCTAAAATGAATATATTAAAACTAGGAATGAATCAGCAAGAAGAACACAGTAATTGTTTCAAAAGTGATACATTAGCCTGAAGCAATTCTCGCTAGACGAGATTTTAGGATCATCCATATATGTGAATATTCCATTCAGCTTTACGACTATGAAAAGTTTCCAGCTCTCGTGATTAGACCTGCATCATCGCAATTACCTACGCGTTTATGAACTTGTTTAATCGAAGTCTGTTGCATGTCTGTAAGTCTCAGCCCTGCCGCGTAGCTTCAAATAACCCCTGTCCAAAAAAAGCTTCTGCTCATAAGAATATGTATGATTTTCATCCTTCTGTTCGGTCTTTCAGCTAACACAAGGCCGCATACCATTGAAGCCTTATTTTAGTGCTTAAAGTTTCAGCATTTGGTCTACCAGCGCCGATACAGAATAGTAGCTGCACTCTAATACTTCGTGCTCTAGATTACATATAAGCTGGATCGTGCAGGTGCATCTGAGAACAGCCGGAGTAAGCTTTCCCTTTTCGTTTAAAGCTGAATCATGACCAAGGCTTGACACCATGCTTCTTAAGCTCACACGTAGCCAATCAGGTATTTTGCTTTGAACCGAAGTCAATTAGTTCGTCACAGTCACATCTGGTCTATCATCCACCCAAGCAACAAGAGCATATCCTAGGGTGCAATGCTACTGGCAATTTTTTTTATAATATCTCTTTACAAATGAGCTCAGGGAAATCACTCTGTGTGAAATATGTCAGTGATGCTGTCTCATCGCCAGTGCCATAAGAGCAGAACAACAATGAATCAAATATGCTAATTGATTGACAGTATGGTAACCCAGGGTCAAGTATACCAATCCTATCGTAAATTAGCTGAATACACGTTCATCATAAAGATCTTTAGTAAAACAACTATCTTCGAAATAACAGAGATCTGACAATTTTAAAGCAGCGCTGTGGATAACTGTAACACATCTTTACCTGTGATGATCAGCAGCGTATTTAGCTTCAGCGACCTGTTGATGGAGGTGTCGCTGAATCTAGCATGCTTGGAATCGTGCGTGACCAATTGGAAGCTCTTCAGTGTCATCAGTAACAAATCTCTTCGTAATGGCATGTGCTGTCTAATTTGTTACTTATTTTGTGTATGTGTTTTGTCCAGTCTTCTACAGTAAATTCACAGTATCATGAAGGTGCCGTAAATTTTTGCTTTGTCAACCAATCACACTGAATTTTAAGATTTTTCATGCTTTTGATTCGAGCAGTTTTATATCATTAACTCACTTGGCTTGGATAATCATAAATAACTCCCTCATCAGCTGACTGTTCCCATGCGCATGAATGTTCTTTGAATTGTCAAGGTTAAAGGAAATACAGCACAACTTTTATCTGTTGGCACATTTCATGATGCAGCATAAATTTGCTTTGTCTGATTTCACTTCATGAAGACGAGGATATGACGCCAAAGAAATAAATCTTCTTTTGTGTAATGAATGAATTATGCGGAGTCATTCCAGGAAAGATTTTGGCAATTCCACAATAGATTCTGAAGCAAAGATCAACTTGTCTTCTAACATTCATAACCGGTTCAATAATAAAGGTGAAATATGAAGTCCCGAAAGCATAAGGTCTTTCAATGGCTCAAAGACCAGGTAAATAGAGTTATGAAGGCAGACGTTTCAAAACGCCGCCTTGATCATCAGCATGGCATGAAAATGAACAGCAAATCTTTTTTGCATCTTCCCAATTCGTTGTATCTCAGATTATTCAGTCAGATGACGTTGCATTTTCAAAACTTACTGGGTTC